AGCTTTTCAGGTAGAGGTGAGGGTCAAAAGTGACAGAGCTGGATGCACCCAATGGTCACCAAATTAAGCTACAAGAATGAGCTTATATGCCATGGCAGCAAAAGAACGAAGGAATCAGAAAAAAGAAGAATTTAATTTTTATACGTAACAAAAATATTTTTAGCAATCTCTAGCAACCTGGAATATATTCTACCAAAGAGAATTTGAAATCAAGATATTAGCTGAAAAACAAACTGACAAAATTCAGGAGTTTTATACGATGGAAAATTGTGGGTAAGCTGTAGATATAAGGTAGTGATTATATGAGAACACTTGAAAATTCACAACAAATTGGGAAGCTGATCTAGTTTTTGAAGGAGATGCCAAGAACGTGGGTTACTCAAAATAGTTTTGACGAGAGGACACGTGAATCTTCCTCTAAAGTATGAGCTAATCGGACCTCCCTGGTGGTGCAAGGGGTTAAGACACAACCTATGAAATATCCGCAGTCACTGCAGCACGAGTTTGATCCCTAGCCAGGGAGCTACCCATGTGGTGCAGCAGACCCCTTCTGACTCACCCGCTGCTCCCCTCAGCAGTGTATTTCAGTCAATCTGCCTGTTCTGCCCCTTACTCTGTCTCTGGTGAATCCTCTCACCCCCACCCCAACTTCTGGCCTGTACCCGAGTTTTTGTATATATAAATAAACCCATAAAAATTTTTTTAAAAATATAAGCTGATCATAAAATTACTGTAATAAAGTCTGACTCATGTTAGAATAAGGATGAAAAACAAAACGGGTCCATGGAACAGAACAGAGCCTATAAACAGATCCATATTTGTAGACCAGATACTTCATAGAGGAGCAAGGGTATTCAGTGGAGGAAATACAGTCGACAGTAAAGGGAGTTGAAGGAATTGAATACCCACAGTCGCTAAAGCAAACTTCCAGCCAAATCTTGCACTAAATGTAAAATGTACAGTATTAAGATAGAAAATACTCTTAATATGAAATCACAAATAAAAAATTTTCAGAAGAACACATGGGATGAAATCCTGTGATATGGCTTAAACAAGGGCCAAAAGATGTGAACAAATGCTTCACCAGATAAATATAAGACATGATTAGATGCTGCATATTATTAGAGATCAAGTAAATGCAAATTTACTTGACAAAATGTCATCACTACGCTCCCAGTAGAATGCTGAATTTACAGAAATGGTCATAACAAAAGTTGACTAGATCTACCATAATTTAAAAAACTGATGAATGTAAGGGTTTTGAGGGAGTTCAAACTCTCATACACTGCTTCTGAGAATGAAAACCGATATGACAACTTTGAAAACAATAGTCGTTCATAAAATCTGACCAGGTTCTTACATTGGAATCAGCCATCTCCCTCTTAGGTAATCATCAGTAGATGTGAAAGTCTATGGCCATTCAAAACTGGTTTATAAATGTTCAGCTTAATGTTAATAGTATCAAGTGGAAAATAACCCAGTGATAACCAATGTTTGGTACACGTGAACTATTATTCTGCTATAAAATAAAGAAATATTGATATAGCAACTCTGATATCTCTTAAAGCAACATACTAATGAAAGAAGTCTGCCAGAGGATAGCCCATACTATGTGATTCCCTTTATGGAAATTTCTAGAACAAGCAAACTATAGTGAGAGTAAGCAGGTCAGGGCTTGCATGGTTAGAGGAGGAGAGGTAAAAAGGGGAGGTGGGGTCTGAGTATGGGACATGGCCATCTGCAGGGTCACACACGGTATCTCTACTTCATTGACATGATAGTTTCACAATGAATGCATCTGGCAAAATGATCCAACTGTTCATCTTAATAATGGGAAGCTTACTGTGTATCAAATAAAAACTAACAAAGGTAAACAAATGAGAGCAGTTAAATTGAATAGTCCTAACCCACTTAGAAAATTTAAATTTTCATTAAAATTTCCTTACAAAGAAAAGCTTATGTGCCGATGTCTTCATGGGTCATTTTTTGCAAATATTTCCAATGAAAGAAGAACACATGGGATGAAGTTATTATGTTTCACAATCCACAGAAAAATCGTTGTGTGGTTATTTTTTCAATAATTTGAAAATTATTGAAAAATAACTTACCTGTTAGCATTTGCGATGATTATTTGTAACCTTGGTCACATGGCTAAATTACCTTGAATGAATGCTCTGTTCCAGAGACTTGAACTGAGGAAAATCCCTGGTCTCTATGAGGACTCTGTCCCTCACCAAGAGTTAAAAGACAGAACAAAAACTACCTGTGCATGATCCCTTCCAGCTCCATCCATGTTGCTGCAAATTGCAAGAGTTTATAGTTTTTGATTGCTGAATAATATTCCATTGTGTACATGTACCACATCTTCTTGATCTAGTCACCTATTTTTGGGCATAGCTCAGTGAAATAAGCCAGAAAGAAAAAGAAAAATACCGATGGTCTCACTCATAGCAGGAATTTAGAAAACCTAAATAAGGGACCAGGAAAAAGACTAGTTATAATAAAGTAAAAATCAAAATCAACAAGCAACTATAAACCAGAGACACACTACAGGGGCGCCGGGGAGTGGAGGAGGGATTAAGTTCAAAAAAGGGTGGTAGGAATTGAATGGGTTATATAACCAAGAGGAAAATGCATACATTGTGCAAAAATGAAAAATGATGTAAAAAATATAGAAAATAAAATTTTAAAAATGGACCGGAAATAAAAAACTATGTGTGGACGAGATACTTGCCTTGGAGATGGCAGGTGTCCTTTTGTCTGGACTAGAGAAGCTGCATTTCAGAGTCTGATTCCCAGTGAGCCCCTGTGTGTGCAGCATAGGGTATAGGGGGCAGAGGGGTGTGTTAAAAGCACATGTTTTCTTAGAGGTGCCATAACTTTGGAGACATGGGAAGGAATTGTGTCCCCAGTTCTAAGGTACATTATATGCATAAGAAAAATTGGGGGTGTGGACTGAACTGGGCAAGGTGTGTAGGGGAGAACCTTGAGAAGGGCCATGCACAAATGTCCACATTCTGAAGAGTCTAGAGCAGCACAGAGCCATCAGCCTGGGGGTGTCTGTCACCAAGTTAAACCGAGCTGGTGTAAAACTGTACAGGCTGAGTTACTCACATTCGTTCCACATACTCGTGTTGTGGAAGTAGCTTTGAAAATAATGATCAATTGACTGAGTCACTCAACTGCCTGAACTGGCATCAACATCAATGATTATATTTCTCTTTTGTTAGAATATGCAAAGGTAATGACAATAAGGGCCGACATTTATTGGGCGTTTATGTGCTTTAGCAGGAATGACCTCAAAACTTGAAAAATCTTTATTATTATCATACTTTTATTATCTGCACCTTATAACCGATAAACAAGACTGAGAGAAGGGAGTTCACGTCTTTAGGATAACCACAAATGAGTGACAGAGTCCAGCACCCAGTGCTGTCTGAACAGGTGCTGGCTCCTCATGCTAGAGGAGGGTCAGGTCACGCTGCTTCTCAGGTGGCCTAGGAGCAGGTCAGTGCCCCCTGACACCTCCACACCGCTCAGGTGCCTCCAACAAGCACAGTCTACTATCCAGTCTCTATGCAGGCTCCTCCCCAGGGTCTGATGCGAACTGAGAAAGTCAAACTACTCTCTTTCCTTAACCAGGAGCTGAGGGACCTTCCTTGTCCTTCAAGTGATTATAAAGTGGTGTCCTCCTGGTATTCTCTGGCATCGGGGACAGACACAGCAAGCTCAGGAGGCGATGGACTCACACAAGATATCTTCTCAGTTCTTTCTTGCTGGTCTTACAGCAGAAGCTGAGGACTCAGACACTGATTAGAAGGTGACTGATGTAAGGAGGAACGACACACGGTGAGGTGGGCAGGGATAGGTAAGCAGAGGGTGTCTGTGTGCTCAGAGGTCAGAGGTGTCCTCCAGGTGGGTCTGTGTGTGATGGGTGGATGGATGTTCCCTCACAAATATGTGTGTGTTTGTGACCTCACCCTCATGTCAGACTGAGTGGGGAAGGAAGGGAAGGGAATGAAACGGAAGGACAGTCAGAGAATCTGGAGATAGAGTGGGAGAGAGGTTAATGACATGTTATTCTTTCCCCCTCTTTGCCCCAGAAGTGAAGCACCAACTGGGCCTGCAAATAGCACACTGCTGAGTGTGATCTGCGGTCTCTTCGTCAACCTTTCATCTCGACCATCTACCTCCCTCCTCCATAAACCCCACACATTCACCTTTGGTGACTCATCACAGGTAAGTAAAGCGACTGCAAAGTGCAAAGAGAGAAATTTGCTCCTGCTCTGGAGCAGGGGTTCCTGAATTTACCCATGAGCTGCAGGGGAGGGAGGAACTGAAACTTTCACTGAGTCATTTGGTAAGTGTGATCTGTATTTTATGAGCTATAAATGCAAAGCACTTGAAGTTTTTGTGTGTGTGTGTGTGTGTGTGTGTGTGTGTGTGTGCCTCACGGACCCAAATTTTCACTCACGGATCACATTATGCATCTTTCAACACTGATCCATTTCTGTTTGGGAGGAAGGTTCCTGGGAGTCTCTGCCACCAGGCAGGTGGATAATGGATGGGACCTCAGTGCTGCAGCAGGTTCCACCGGGCCCAGTCCTCGTCTGGACCTTACATGTTTGCTCTCTGACATTCAGCTCCCTCCCTGGGAGGGGTAACTACTCCCATGTACAACACAATTCTGAGGACTAAACGATGCAGTCCACACAGACTGTCAGCACCTTGCCTAGCTCAATTCTGGTGCTTGGCAATAGAATTGATATTATACTGTGTCATGATGTTTCTCCTTCATCACTTTCAGGTAGCACAGGTAAACGTGCAACAAAAGAGGTCCCTGCACAACCCTCACACACCTGGAGCACACAGCCTGATCCTTCCAGGGCTTGGACCCGGCACCTTTCACAAGCCCTGCCCCAAACAAGGTCCTGGTTGGCTCAGTTGGTTCCTGCTTTTTTCCTCTGTTTCTCAGTGAGGCTGACACAGCAAAAGTCAGTGGGCAGCCAGGCCTCCACATGGGGGTCCAGACACTGTCATCTCGGTGGCGTGAACCAAGATAAGCAGAGCCCTCAGCAAGTTCATGGTCCCTGAAGAAGCCTTGTTGTCCTGCTTCACTACTTGAGTGAGTAATTCTAGATTGCTCCTTCAGTGTGTGTGTGCGTGTGTGTGTGATCCTATTCTAATTTCATGCCAAAGGAGGCCGAATCCGGAATCCATTTGTGGCCACCTCTCTCTTTGGCTGTTGTTTTATGTCATTTATGAAATGAACAAATAATATATTTGTCATGTTTCACACAATCCCTAGCTGTGAAATGAAAGTATGTGAGATCCCTTTGTAAACTGCATGATGGTAAATATGGTCGATAACGCTTGGACCAACAGACTGACAAATGGTGTCACTCAGCATGTCTGATTTTTCAGAGACACTCTCTACTCCTAGGAGGGATTCAATATTCATGTACCTTTACACAAAATGAAAATGTACTTTTGCTTTCATAGTTAAAAGAGTTATTATAGTGCTGAAGAATGAGTGCTATGATGAAGTTTTAACTAAAACGTGTATGTAAATTCTTAGGCCGAATATCTGAATACAGTATATTCACGACAAATATTTGACATAATTTTTAAGGCTGGTTTGGAAACCCAGGTGGACACTCTGTTAAAGAGAATATTAAATATCTCCGATCAGTAAGGATTTTGCCTTGTCACTGTAAGCCTGTCACATATACTTAGCTTTTCCACTCCACTTTAGGGAGTTACTAACAAATATTAGAGGAATGTCTTTGTCCTGCTTCTCTCCTGATTTTGCCATGTCATGCCTATTTCTGACTTTTCATTAGCATGATAATGTGTACAATACTTGAGTGTTAGGACTTTGCATTTTTATTCACTGTAAGGAACTCAATGCTTTGTGTCATATCTGGCACAAGGCTGTGATGCAGTAAATAATTCTGGAATAAAGAAAAACGTCCTCGGATTCCACAAAAGGAAAACTTGCAGGATATTGTGTGAGTGTACTATACCATCAAAGATCCTCTGAGAGACTATTTTGAGACCATCAATAAATTTGAGCAAAAAAATTAACAATTGACACGTACATGGAAAGAGGATATTGCTATGTTTTTATGCCTACTTCTAAGATTTGTACCTCTCCCTACTTTCCCAGGAGAGACATGAGCAACATGAAGAGGGAGAATCAGAGCACTGTGTCCGAGTTCATCCTTCTGGGGCTCCCCATCCGTCCAGAGCAGCGGGGCCTGTTCTTTGCCCTATTCCTGGGCATATACCTGACCACGGTGCTGGGGAACCTGCTCATTATCCTGCTCATAAGGCTGGACTCGCGCCTCCACACCCCCATGTACTTCTTCCTCAGCCATTTGGCCTTAAGTGATGTGTGTCTCTCATCTGTCACTGTCCCTAAGATCCTGACAAACATGCACAGTGATGACAAGTCCATCCCCTATGCAGCATGCATTTCCCAGACATATTTTTTAATATGGTTTGGTTGTTTTGATGATTTCCTTCTTGCAGTGATGGCGTATGACAGGTACGTGGCCATCTGTCAGCCCCTCCACTACAACACCATCATGAGGCAGGAGCTGTGTGTCCTCTTAGGAGCTGGGTGCTGGCTCTTCAGCTGTCTCCACTCTCTGTTGCACACCCTGCTCTTGGCCCGACTCTCCTTCTGTGCTGACAATACCATAGACCACTTCTTCTGTGACCTCCCTACACTCATGAAGATCAGCTGCTCAGACGTCTCCATCAATGAGTTGGTCATCTTCACTGAGGGAGGGGTGATCATCCTCTCGCCTTTTATTGGCGTCGTTGGCTCCTATATCCGGATTTGGACCACTGTCCTCAAAGAACCCTCTGCCAAGAAATTTTTCAAAGTCCTTTCTACCTGTGGCTCCCACCTCCTTGTTGTTGCTTTATTTTATGGGACCCTTACAGAAGTTTACCTGTTCTCTTCATCCAGAGAGGAAAACATAACTGGTTCTGTGATGTATATGGTTGTCACCCCTTTGCTGAACCCCTTCATCTACAGCCTGAGAAACAGAGACATGAAACGTGCCCTGGAAACACTTGTGAATCGGGCTAAGTTCCTTATGTCAAAAGATTCAAGATGAATATGTTAATAAACACTCTCTACTGACATACACCAATTTAATCCACCAGACTGAGTAATGATTCTGACATTTGCTTAGCAATTCTTGGAGTAGATGATGCCTGATTGCTACGTCACATATTTTGGGGTAGGAGACTAGGGAAGACATGAAGAGGCAGGAATGAGGATGGAAAGTCCTTCAGTCCTACCAGCTCCATGAAATCCCTGCCTTTCTTCCCTTTGCTCCTCACAGTCCATGGAAGGAGAGATTCAGAAAGAATATCGTAAAAAACTCTGCTAATGTAAGTTGAATTTCCAAGTTTTCAAATTCTGACATTCCCATAATAAACTTTTGAATACCCACAGCTTCATTTCCTCTGAAGTTGGTTTTGTAATAGTTTATCTGCATTTAATCAATATTTTCATAGATGCAATTTTGAAAGTTTTATCTTATCAGTAACTGCTTTAGTTCTTTTCAAAGAAATTTCTTCTGGTGTCCTTGAACGTTCTACCTTTTATTTGGTAGTACTAACCATGGAGATACGTCTATGTAAAGTTCATCAGGCAATACATTTCAAATTGCTACACTTAGTGTAGGCATGTTAGGCAGTAACACCAAAGGGAAGGGGTGAAAAACTCAGTAAACTCAATTACAATTCTATGAGTTAAATCATTATATTGATGTGAGTGCATAAAATTGTATAAATTGGGAGTGTGTATTTCACAGTTAATATATGTGACCTTAGCAATATGAAAATAAGAAATATAATATATATGCAAATGATACACGCACATAGATATACAGAGATATAAATTTATAAGAACTCACCATATAATATGAATGTCGTTTTGGTAGAGAAATGCTCCTAATTTTCCTACATCTTTTTTCATTTCTCCCCAATATTCTGTCTTTTACTCCTTCACGTACACAAAAGGCTTAAATTATTATCAAGCATCAGGTGTTTAGATGTGGGGGTGATTAGAATGTACTGATTTGGAAACCTTCCTTCTAGTTCACCCACTAGAGAAGCTGGAAGCGTGAATTCAACCAACTTTTCAGGCAGAGGTGAGAGTCAAAAGTGACAGAGACTGAATGTGCCCAATCATCACCAGACTAAGCTTCAAGAATTTGCTTATAGGCATTGGCAGCTTCGTTGAACTGGCATAACATCAATGATTATACTTTTATTTTGTTGGGATATGCAAAGATACTGACAATAAGGGCTCACATTTTTTAAAATAATTTTATTTTTATATTCCCCATACAATTGCAATCCCCTTATTTTGACCCCAATCCCTCCCCTCCCCACCCATCACCCCCCATAGAGTGTCTCTTGTTCATAGTTGTTTGTTGATTTTGATATTTTCTTTCTTATAGTTATTCTTTTTCCTGGTCCCTTATTTAAGTTTTCGAGATTCCTGCTATGAGTGAGACCATCCGGTATTTTTCTTTTTCTTTCTGGTTTATTTCGCTGAGCATGATCCCTTCCAGCGCCATCCATGTTGCTGCAAATTGCATGTGTTTATCTTTTTTGAATGCTGAGTAATATTCCATGGTGTATATGTACCACATCTTCTTGATCAGGTCATCTATTTTGGGGCATTTGGGTTGTTTCCAAAGCTTAGCTATTGTAAACAGTGCTGCTATAAACATAGGGGTGCAGGTGCTCTTTGGAATTGATGTTTCTGTGTCCTTTGGGTAAACACCTAGGGCTCACATTTATTGAACATTTATGTGCTTTAGCAGGAAATGCCTCGAAACTTTAACAAAATCTTCTTAACTATCAAACTTTAATTATCTGAACTTTATAACTGATAAACAAGACTGAGAGAAGTGACTTTACTTATTTAGGATGAATAATAAATGAATGACAGAGTCCAGGACCCAGTGCTATCTGAACAGGCACTGGCTTCCTCATGCTAGAGGAAGGCCATGTCATCCTGCTTCTCAGGTGGCCTGACTAGGTCATTGTCCCCCTTATACCTCGACATTGCTCAAGTGCCTCCAACTAGGTCAGTCCTTTCAAGTGGTTTATAAAGTGGTGTCATCCTGCCTGTTCTGTGGCATCAGGGACAGACACAGCAAGCTTGGAGGCCTTGGACTCACAGAGATTGTTTTCATACTATTTGTTGCTGGTCTTCCCAGCAAAAGCTGAGGACTCAGACACTGATTAGGTGCCTGGTCAGAGTGCGTGGGGACTGGAGATGAGCAGATTGTGTCTCTGTGCTCAGAGGTCTGATGTGCCTCTATGTGGGTCTGTGTGTGATGGGGGTGGAAGAATGTTCCTTCACAAATATGTCTGGTGTGTGATCTCTCTCTTCTGACAGAGAGAGAGGGTGAAAGGAAGGGAGGGAATGAAAAGGGAGACTAGACAGAGAGACAGAATTGGAGAGCAGAAAATGACACCCTAGTCTGTTCCCCTCCAGCTCCAGAGCACAAAAACAAACCGGTGTCCCATAAAGCACTTGGGAACCAATGCTGAGTGTGAACTGCAGTCTCTTAATCAACACTTTGATCTCAAACATCTGCCCTCCCTCTCCTTAGCTCCATGGTTCATCTCTGGCTACTCATCTCAGGTAAGGAAAGGGACTGCAGAGGGTAAAGAGAGAAGATGTGCTCCCCACTCTGGAGCAGGGGTTCCTGCATTTATCCATGAGCAGCAGGGGAGGGAGGACTTGAAATTTTTACAGAATTATTTGGTAAGTGTGATCTTGTATTTTATTTGAGTTCTAAATGCATGGCACTCCATGGTTTAGTGTGGGGTATGTGTGTGTGTGAGAGTGAATGTGTGCCTGTGTGTGTGTGAGCGTGTGCATATGAGTGTGCTGACATTAATGTGTACGTAGTTGCTGTGTTGGTAGCTGCAACGTGATGTGCCCAGTGCCTCTCTTGGACAGTAAGCACTTTACAGCATTGTCTTTACAGCAGAGCCCTCAGCAAGTTCATGGTCCCTGAGGAGGATTTGCTGTCCTGCTCCACTGCTTGACTGAGTGAGTCTAGATTCCCTCAACATCAGTGTGTATATGTGTGTTTGTGTGTGTGTGTGTGTGTGTGTGTGTGTGTGTGTGTAAACCTAACTCTAACCTCACTACCAAAGAAATGTTGAACCTGGACTCTGCCTGTGGTCACCTACATATTTCACTGTTGTTTCATGTCATTTATGAATGAAGAAATAGTATTTTCCTAATGTATCATACAATCTCTAGATATATCTCAACTTTTTAAATATTAGAAAGAGAGTCCTTTGTGAATTGTATGATGGTAAAGATGGTTTATAACTGTTAGACAAATGATGTCACCCAGTATGTCTGATTTCTCAGAGAAACTCTTTACTCTTAGGAGGGATTCAAAATTCTTGCAGATGGATCCTGTCCGTATCTATGTTGTCAGTCGCTTCCTGTACTTCTGAGTATGAACCTTTACACACATTGAAAATGTGTCTTTTGCTACTCATAGTTAAAACAGATATTATAGTGCTGATTAGTACTATGATGAGGATTTAAGTAAAAAGTGTATGTAACCGAATAACTATAAGAAAGTGAAAATCAAAATCAACATAAAACTATGAACCAGAGACACTTTTTGGGGGATGGGTGGCGGGAGGGGAGAGATTGGGGTCAGAATGAGGGGGTTGCAATTGTATGGGGAATATAAAAATAAAATTTATTATTAAAAAAAAAGTGTATGTAACCTTAGGCCAATATCTGCTTATTGTATGTTAATGAAAAATAGTTGACATTATTATTAAGGTTGGTTTAGGAACCCTGGTGGGTATGTTAAATGGAATATTAAATATCTCTAATCATAAGGATTCAGCCATGTCACTGTGCCTGTCTCCAATTCTTAGCTATTTCACTCCAATTTAGAGAGTTACTATATTTTGAAAAGTACAGAAGTATGTGTCCTGCTTCTCTCATGATTTTGCCATGTCATACCAGCTTTTGACTTTTGATTAGCACAATATAATGGCACACAACCTACAGTGTTAGGACTTTGCATTTCTGTTCACTATGATGAATTCAGTGCTTTGTATCAGATATAGGACATGGTTGTCATTCAACAAAATAATTCTATTTTTTTTTCAAAAAAAAAATAAAGAAAACATGTGCTCCCATTCCATGAAAGGAAAAATTTAGGATATGGTGCTAGTGTCATGCACCATGGGAGATCTATCCTGTAAGATTGTGACAAGTCTCAACAGGTATAAGCAAAAACCAGAGGTCTAGTTAAAAATTAACATCCTCATGGAAAGAGAACATTGCTATGCTTTTAGGCTACTCTAAGCATTCTACCTTTCCTGTTTCCTCCAGTTCTCACAGAGACACGAGCAGCATGAGGTGGGAGAACCAGAGCACCATGTCCAAGTTCCTCCTCCTGGGGCTCCCCATCCTTCCAGAGTAGCAGGGTCCTGTTCTTCGCCCTGTACCTGGGCATGTACCTGACCACGTTGCTGGGGAACCTGCTCATCATCCTGCTTATCAGGCTGGACTTGTGCCTCCACACCCCCATGTACTTCCTCCTCAGCCACTTGGCCTTCACTGATGTCTCCTTCACATCTGTCACTGTCCCCAAGATGTTGACAAACTTGCACACTAATCTGAGGTCCATCCCCTATGCAGGATGCATTTTCCAGATGTATTTTTTAATATTCTTTGGTTTTCTGGACAACTTCCTTCTTGTAGTGATGGCCGATGACAGGTACATGGCCATCTGTCACCCCCTCCACTACACTACCATGAGGCAGGAGCTTTGTGTCATTTACTCACTCATGTAAACAATTTTCTTAAATTGTTTTCAAGCATTGGGCATATATATAGGTGTGGGGTGGTCAGATGTGCTGATTCGGAAACCTTCCTGGTTGTTCACCTGCTAGAAGCTGGAGGAACGAACTCAACCAACTCTTCAGGAAGAGGTGAGGGTCAAAATTGAGAGACTGGGGCCTCCCTGGTGGCGCAGGCGGTTGATCACAGCACTGTAAAGCTGTCTGTAGCCTCTGCAGTGCGGGTTTGATCCCAGTCAGGGAGATACCCACGTGGCGCAGCAGACCTCTCCTGTCTTGCCCACTGCTCCTCTCAGCAGTGTTTTTTGGTCAGTCTGCCTGTTCTGTTCCCCGCTCTGTCTCTGGTGAATACTCTCACCCTCTCACACATCTGGCCTATACCCCAATTCTTGTATAAATAAATTTTTTTTTAAAAAAAGTGTGAGACTGAATGTGCCCAATCATCACCTAACAGAGCCTCAAGAAGTAGCTTATAAGCAATTCCAGCAACCAAATGTTGAAGGAAG